TGTATATATACAATCACTGTATAAAAAGGTCCCGTGTATATACAAGCACTGTATGGAACGGTCCTGTTTATATACAATTACTGTATGTGAAGGTCATGTTTATATACAATCACTGTATGGACAGGTCACGAAAATATACATTTGCTGAATGGAAAGGTCCTGTATATATAAAATCACTGTTTGGAATGGTCATTTATTTATACAATCGCTGTAATGAAAGGTTCGGTATATATGCAATCACTGTATGGAAATGTCCTGTACATATACAATCACCGATGGAAATGTCCTGTATATAAACAATCACTGTATTGAAAAGTTCGGTATATATGCAATCACTGTATGGAAATATCCAGAATATATACAATCATTGTATGGAAATGTCCTGTTTATATACAATTATTGTATGGGCAGGTCCTGTAATTATACAATTACTGTATTGAAATCCCGTGAATATAAAATCAAAGTTCCCATCTATATAAAATAACTATATGGAAAAGTCCTGTATATATAAAATCACTGTTTGGAATGGTCCTGTATTCATACAATCACTGCATGGAAGGTCATTTTTATATACAATTATTGTATGGAAAAGTGCCGTATATATACAATCACTGTATGGAAAGATGTATACAATTAAGGTATGGATAGGTCCGGTATATGTACAATGACTGTATGGAAAGGTCCTGCTATAAAAATCACTATATGGAAAAAGTTCGTTATTTATACAATCACTGTATGAATAGGTCCTGTATATAAACAATCACTGTATGGAAAGGTCATGTATACATCTTTCTATTGTTCACTTTGTGGTGTAATTCTGTCAAATCCCCACCTAAGGATGTAAATTGACAGTAAACATCATTTTCAAAGTTTGTGTCATGATGTCATTATAATAAGTTGTCATCTTATGATGGCCTTATTCAATTTTATATATGTGTTGAGTTTTATGTGGAGTAGGCATACATGCAAGTTATATACATAGCTGATTTTATGTCGCGACACATAAACCTTCCATTATACTGTTTGACAAGTATTGTTAAAATGTTGCTACGAGCATCGCCCCACTTAGGGTGCCGCTCCTCCCTTTTTGGTGTCTCCATTGTTTTGAGGTTTTTGATTGGCTAACATCCCACGCTACAATATGATTTGCTGTAGGCCTCCTTCTTCATCTTTAAGAAAATTTTCAACGGCGCCATTTTGTGGCAGCACATTTTTATAGATTTATACCAAATTTGCCTTATTGAAACATCCACCCTTACATGTCACCCTTTTTAATATTGTTTGTTTTGTGATTTTTATATATATGTGTTGTAGTGGGTGTAAGCGTAATTCTGTCGAATCCCCACCTATGGATGTAAATTGACAGTAAACATCATTTTCATAGTTTTTGTCATGATGTCATTATAATAAATTGTCATCTTATGATGGCCTTATTCAATTCCTGTATAAATACAATCACGTTATGGAATGGTGCAGTATATACAATCACTGTATAGAAATGTCCTCGATATGTATATACAATCACTGTATGGAAAGGTCCTATATATAAAAAATAACAGTCTGGAAAGATCCTGTATATATACAATTACTGTATGGAAATATTCTGTATGCATACAATTAAGGTATGGATATGTTCGGTATATGTAAAATCACTGTATGGAAAGGTCCTGCTATAAAAATCACTATATGGAAAAGTTCGTTACTTATACAATCACTGTATGGATAGGCCCTGTATATAAACAACCACTGTATGGAAAGGTCATGTATATATACAATTATTGTAAGGAAAGGTCCCGTATAAATACAATCACTGTAAGGAAAGGTTCTGTATATAAACAATCACTGGATTGAAATGTCCCGAATATGTATATAAAATCACTGTATTGAAAGGTCCTGTATATATACAATCACTGCATGAAAGGTCCTTTTTTATACAATTATTGTATGAAAATGTTCCGTGAATATACAATCACTGTATGGAAAGGTCATGTATATAAAATCACTGTATGGAAAAGTGCCGTATATATACAATCGCTGAATGGAAAGATCCTGTACATATACAATTACTGTATGGAAATGTTCTGTATGTATACAATTAAGGTATGAATATGTCCGGTATATGTACAATGACTGTATGGAAAGGTCCTGCTATAAAAATCACTATATGGAAAAGTTCGTTACTTATACAATCACTGTATGAATAGGTCATGTATATAAACAATCACTGTATGGAAAGGTCATGTATACATCTTTCTATTGTTCACTTTGTGGCGTAATTCTGTCAAATCCCCACCTAAGGATGTAAATTGACAGTAAACATCATTTTCAAAGTTTGTGTCACGATGTCATTATAATAAACTGTCATCTTATGATGGCCTTATTCAATTCCTGTATAAATACAATCACGTTATGGAATGGTGCAGTATATACAATCACTGTATAGAAATGTCCCCGATATGTATATACAATCACTGTATGGAAAGGTCCTATATATATAAAATAACAGTATGGAATGGTCCTGTACATATACAATCACTGAATGGAAACGTTCGGTATATATACAATTACTGTATTGAAAGGTCCCGTGAATATTCAATCACTGTTTAAAAAGGTCTTGTATATACATTCACGGTATAGAAAGGTCCCGTGTATACAGAATCACTGCATTGAAAGTTCCTGTCTATATAAAATAACTATATGGAAAGGTCCTGTATATATAAATTAACTGTATGTAAAGCTGCTCTATATGTACAACCACTGTATTGAAAGGTCCTATATATATACAATCACTGTATGAAAAGGTCCCGTTTAAATACAACCACTGTATGGAACAGTCCTGTTTATATACATTCACTGTATAAAAATGACCTGTATATATACAACCACTGTATTGAAAGGTCATGTATATATACATTCACTGTATAAAAGGTCCCGTTTATTAACAAGCACTGTATGGAACGGTCCTGTTTATATACAATTACTGTATGGAAAAGTCCGGTTTATATACAATCACTGTATGGACAGGTCACGAAAATATACAATTGCTGAATGGAAAGGTCCTGTATATATACAATCATTGTAAGGAAAGGACCTGTATATATGCAATTACGGTATGGATACGTCCTGTATATGTACAATCACTGTATGGTAAGAACCTATATAAAAACAATTACTGTATTGAAAGGTGCCGTATATATACAATTACTGTATTGAAAGGTCCCGTATATATTCAATAACTGTATGGAAAGGTCCTGTACATACACAATCAAAGTAATGAAAAGTTTCGTATATATACAATCACTGTATGGAATGGTCTTGTATGTAAACAATCACTGTATGGAAAGGTCCTGTATGTATACAATGACTGTGTTGAAAGGTTCTGTATATATACAATCACTGATGGAAAGGTCTCGCATATACACAATCACTGTATGGAAAAATCCAGAATATATGCAATCATTGTATGGAAAGGTCCTGTTTATATACAATCATTGTATGGGCAGGTCCTGTATATATACAATTACTGTATTGAAAGGTCCCGTGAATATACAATCACTGTATTGAAAGGTCCTGTATATATACAATCACTGTATGAAAAGGTAACGTTTAAATACAACCACTGTATGGAACGGTCCTGTTTATATACAATCACTGTATGGAAATGTCCCGTATATAAACAATCGCTGAATGGAAAGGTCCTGTATATACATTCACTGTATAAAAAAGTCCCGTGTTTACAGAATCACTGCATTGAAAGTTCCTATCTATATAAAATAACTATATGGAAAGGTCCCGTATATATACAATTAACGTATGGAAATGTTCTAAATGTATACAATTAAGGTATGGATAGGTCCGGTATATGTGCAATCACTGTATGGAAAGGTCAGGCTATAAAAATCACTATTTGGAAAAGTTCGTTACTTATACAATCACTGTATGGATAGGCCCTGTATATAAACAACCACTGTATGGAAATGTCATGTATATATACAATCGCTGTATTGAAAGGTCCTGTATATATACAATCACTGCATGGAAGGTCCTTTTTATATACAATTATTGTATGAAAATGTTCCGTGAATATACAATCACTTTATGGAAAAGTGCCGTATATATACAATAACTGTATGGATATATTCTGTATGTATACAATTAAAGTATGGATATGTCCGGTATATGTACAATGACTGTATGGAAAGTTCCTGCTATAAAAATCACTATATGGAAAAGTTTGTTAATCAAACAATCACTGTATGAATAGGTCCTGTATATAAACAAAGTGGTAACATTAGGTTTAAAATCAGAATAATGTATTGCTTGGTTGCAGGTTAAGTGATGACACGGCATCCACTTACAGGGTGAGCTAGAAAATAGAGAAGCCTTACCGTTTAACAAATATTAAACAAACATATGCAGAACGATGCACGGTGGTTGGTACAAACGCACAGGTTTGCGCGAAACAATCATACCGGAAATGTAGTGTAAAACTTGTGTTTGAAATAATTCAGTCAACAATAAAACGAATCGTATATCAAAGGAGCGTTTATAACATAAAGGTGGTAATTTTTGTGTATGATCAGGCCATATCCTATAGAGGGTATCTCTAAAAAAAATGAGGAGGGGGGAGGGTACGTGTATGTTTCCTGCAACTGGGCTAATTCAGACACCGTAACTAATATGCCCCTCCCCAATTGCAACAGTTTTGACCTACATCAAAGTAGAAAGAGAACAAAATCTTTCAACGCTGTATATCATATGCATTGTGTATATAATTACCAAAAAAAACAAAAAAATCAATATATTAACTTTATATCCGCTGTACCTATAAATAAAAGGAAATGGTGGGGGCATACACTGTACGTATACGTAAAGGGAAAGGGAGGGGGCATACACTGTAGCTTTACGTTAAAGGGGAGGGTAGGGGCATACACTGTGCCTAAACAGCGTTAGCGTATTAGCGCTCGATCAGTATTGTGTTTTTATATATGACAGACATTATGCAGGATTTCTTCGTCGGTGCCGCCGCCGTTATTGCTGCCGCCGCCGCCGCGGCCGCCGTTGCCGGCGCCGCTTCCCTTTTCGCCGCTCCTGCCGCCGCCGTTGCCGCCCTCATCGCCAGGAAATACTGTACGTTACCCCACTTTTTTGAAAGATAAGTTTGAGGTACAATAAACATGCCATGAGTAAGCTTGAATGCCCCTTTTTTATTAACATTTTGTTGTTTAACATTTTGTCGGTCGACGATGTCCGACTGGCCAGGCATTGATAATTGATGTAAAATGCATCGATTATTACCAATTTATTTTTAAATTTTCATGGTTTTGAAAATATTGAACAAGGCGACAATCCCAATGCAAATCCTGTTTGTAAAAGGTCAGGAAGAAAATATGATATATGTTAAGAGTAATGGATTGATAAGGATGATGGGGCATGTATTTTGTAAAGGATTTTATTGACACCGGGGGGGGGGGGGGG